GTCCCCTGAGTGTTAGGACACGGAATCAACACGTGTATTTCATCACCTTCACCGATGATTTTTCACGATATGGTTACGTGTACCTAATGAGACACAAATATGAATCCTTTGAAAAGTTCAAAGAGTTCAGACAAGAGGTCGAGAAACACTGCCTCCATTGAAGCTAAGGGCATACAAAACTGTCCAACAAGTTCGTTCTCCAACATCGTAGGAGTGGTCAGGATTAGATCTTGACATCAGTCTTTGTTGAAAGGCTGATAGGAAGTTTGCTCACTGCCTCCATTGGATTCTTGTTGAAAAATTCGGTTCGTGGGACAGACCCTGCTGATTCTGCTCCTCCATCCACTGTGTCATCTTCAGTGGTAGCAGACTTTGGTGATCTTCTTTGGGTGTGAACACCTGCATTGAGAGATATTATTTCTCTGTATCAAGTATATCCTTCTTCTACTGTTTCGTTTCAAATCTAATTCGGTTTATGGTTCAAGATTGATCCTTGAAAAATATGATTTTTCAAAAATAGAGAATATGATTCTCAGTTGAAGGGATAGAAATTTTTGAAATTCGCCCACTCTATTCCGCACGATTTGGGTGTCCATGTGATGGATCTCACATCCCCTCATTGATTTCAATCGTGTTTGAGATTTATTTTACAAAATATATTTATATGATAATATATATTATGTTTTAAGAAAAAGATTTGCACAAGGTTTTAATTCCCAGGACTCAACCGAGCAGAGAGTGCAACACTGCACCTTGCAGCCAGGGGAGAGGTCCTTCCTTATCGGGCAGTGGTTGATCATTAAGGGATGAGAGGTTAAGTGTAAGAGACCATTTAGGGCTGTTTTACCTTATGGGTTATATATCACTTAAGTCCATTGTCTTCAGGCCTTCATAGGATGCCTGGACTCAAGGACCATTTAGTGTAAATGGTGAGCTCATTAAGAGCGCATACTGCTGGACTCAGGGGTTCACTACACATGATAGTGAATTTGGCCAGGCTTTTTCACATAAGCTAGGCCGAAYCCATATGGGCTTATGTGAGGTCATTGTTGGGGTCCCACACCATACAAAGAGAACCAATTGGGCCAGCAACTATCTAGGGTCGTGAGCCACTTACTTAATGGGCCTAAAGTCCATGATTAATAAGATTAATCAAGTAGTCACATGACAGCTTAAGGAGTCATTAGACATGGGTGAATATGGGTATGGATATGGGTTTGGATCAACAATTAGGATAAGAGGATAAGTGTTATCCACTCAAAGAGTCCAAATCCGAATAAAGATTTGGATTAGGATCCTCCTAATTCAATTAGGAGTGTTGATCCTCAAGGCTTATAAAAGGAGGAGGGCGAATTGCTCCAAGTATCACATCTGCTCTCAGTTGTCTCTTTCTGCTTTTGCCGCTCTAGAAACCTTAGTTCGACCTCCAGTTCTTGAACTGATAAAGATCAGCTCTAATTTATGATTTTTGCAAGAAAATATCATATTCAATTCGTGCTCACCTCCTTTGCTCGATCCAAGTTGTTGGATTATAGTTTTTGCTGAAAAATTGTGTTGTTGAACCGACTTCAATTCAAGTTGCGCCATTTTCAGTTGAAGTTGGTTTTGGTACTCTCTTTGGGCGTGAACTACCACTTTGGGAGCTACACTTGTGGATTCCATATCAGGTATTCTTCCTCATTTCTTTTGGTTTCAGATCTGGTCTGGTTCAGTGCAAGAGCGATCCTTGAAAAATGTAGTTTTTCGAAAACTAGGAATACGATTCCCAAAAGGGTAAAAGAAAATTTCTGAAATTTCGCCTAGACATCTTGCATGGTTCGGCCATCCATATGATGGATTTCCCCTTCCTTCAAAATGCCACTAGAGGCGTGGGTGGCTTACTGGTTTGGGACCAACAACATTGGATATGTGATGGTTTGCAGGGGAGATAGTCAATGCCATCTCGCGGCATTCATTCTATACATTGCATCCCGGTTCCTCTTTCTCGGGGAACCCTGACTATGGCCTCCGCACAGTGTTTGTTCCCCTTGTCATGCTAGTCATCAGTTGTCATTGGCTTCAATGTTTTTGGGGTATTTGTTCAAGCAGATGGACGACACTGTCCATCAGATAATGGATCCGAGCTGCAAAAGGCATTGTAGCTACTACATCCTTTCTTCCTTTCTCTTCATGTACATGTGCGAGCGTCTTGAGCTTAGCATTACGCCTCGATGTCTATCTCCTATGAACGTTACCATTGCAACTTTGGATGGAGATCAGATCCAAGATCAGTCCTTGGGTGTTTGTCGAGGAAAACGCTGGCTGAGCACCAAGAAGCTTAGGCAGTTCGGGGTTGCATAAATCAAATTGAAATTGTCTTCCCTTGGAGGGTTTGTATGGAGACCTTATACTCGGGCCATTCGGCATTCCATGCCCTTTTGTATTGGTACTGTCATTCCTGAAGATGGCGACCAACAATGCGCAGTGGAAGCAATTCATCCCCTTGCTGGTGTGGCACGTCTTATTCTTTGGCCCGGTGTCATCGCCTATCTTAACCAATCCGACGAGGCGCAAGTTGTGGCCTAT